TCTTTTTTTCAAAAAATGTGAGCGGTATTGTAAATATTGCAGGGCGATCACTAGCTGAAAATAGAGCTTGAATTGCAATATATGCGCGCTACAAGTAATTACAAGACAAAGTGAGGGCAAAATTTTGCTTCAGTCTTTTCGCAAAAGACTGCATCGTCCTCAATTTGAACCCTCGACGACCCCTGCATTAGCCCCGCACAAAGGCACTGCGCCACTCAAGGCACGAATATGACGTGCTAAGGGATTTACATTCATGTTGAAGAAGCACTTCCGCAAAACGCACACATTCGCGTTTTTGAAGATAATGGAATATTAACAATAATAACTGTCTTATAATCATACCTTGTTCTCCACTACGGACCAGTTCAAAGTTTTGCGGTCTCCCGTAAGCGATGCGATCAGTCGGCAGATCTTCTTGATGTGCTTCTCCTCTATCCAGTATTTTCGCCTCTGCTCGCTGATTTTGATGGAACAGTCGGAGCGGATGAAGCCGAGTGTACCGGACATTAGCGCTTCTTCTTCGTTCGATGCGGAAAAGAAAGCCTGCATCAAGAAAGTTTTTACGCTATTTTTCAAAGCTACGCCTGTAGCTTTAAAAAATAGCGTAAAAACTTTCTTGATGCAGGCATCACATTCGCCAAAAAAACTTGCAATCAGAACAACCGCGCGCAAAGCGAAGACAATTCTAACGGTTTTTTTATTGATCTACCACTTCATGCAAGAAATGCTCAGTTCTGCATTCTTGACCTTAACTGCCGGCCTCTAACTAGCTGCCTCTAGTGCAATGGCTGTTCTCGCTCTTCAAGCGTGGCCAGTGGGCTAGTAGTGCAGTGACCTGGCCACGGTCGTGAGGTCGTAAGCAGCACACAATTCAGTTACACAGTCCCGAAATCGCTTCCCTTACGTTGCGATAAATTTGAGGAGATTACTAGTCACCCAGTCAGCGTAATGGCGCCTGGGAACTCAACTCGCTGAAAATTACAATAGTGATCACATATCGA